AAAGTCTCCTAGAATGCATAAATCATTAACCATTTCAGTCTCTGACAGACTGCAGCCTCCCAGCCTCTGCTCCTGTCCCGCCTCCCTTGGCTCTGGCCTGGATTAGCTTCCTCCAGGGCACTGTTTGGTGTCTGTGCACCTCAGGCCTCGTGGGACTGGCCCTGGTGACACAACAGTGGAGCCAAAGAACCAGAAGAGTCGAGGTTTTACTGCAAAAAAGAAAAGTTTGTTGAAGAAGCGCTCATCTTGTGGATGGGTGAAGTGCAGCGAACGAACAATCCCTACGGTTTGGTTCTGCAAATCACCTGTCCCAGGTGAGACCCCCCTGCAGAGCTGCTCCAGCCCTGGGAACAACAGCACAAGGACGTGGAGCTGCTGCAGAGAGTCCAGAGGAGGCCCTGGGGCTGGAGCCCCTCTGCTCTGGAACCAGGCAGCAAAGGGCAGAGTGTGACCCCAGAGCAGCTGAGGGCGGTGGAAGGTGCTGAGTGAAGAAACACTTCTCTTCATCCCACTCCTGAAGGTGCTGAGTGTCTGAAGGGCAGGTTCCAGTCATGTTACAGTGGGAGGTTCCCAGTTCAGGTTTCTCACAGTGAAGAGCTGCAGTTTTTCATAGTTGCCTTTAGTCCCCTCTTGGACTGAAGCCCAAACTCACCTCAGATTCAGCGGGGCTGAAGGAGAAGCTGCGTTGCCCCTGGGAAGAGAATTCCAGCACATTCCCTGCCATTGGTTAGTAAAACCAGGGCTTTAACACCTGGATGTGAGACATCCTCCCCTCCATGTCCCTCCAGCCTGGCTCTGCCCCGAACGTGCCAACACTGGAGCTGAGTGTTCTCTGCATTGAAAATCCCTTCTGTTGTTGCCCAAGTCGTCCTGTTGGCTGTCCCTGCAGCTCTTCCTTAATTATCTCCACGAATTAAGGAGCTCTGATGAAATCCAAGCTGAAGATGGCCTGGAGGTGTCTGCAGTACCAAAACACAGAGGTTGGAGTGTCAGACAGAAAATGTATTTTCTCGCTCTTCTGTAACAAAGAAACCACCCTGAACCTCCCCCCTACGGACTTTGATGTGTTTTTAAGGTGGTTTTTGGCTAATACACAGTTCAGAAGTCACAAGTTGTGGTATCTCCCATCTACATCCGGAGTTGTGCTGGATCTGCCTGGGAAAAATAGATATTTCTTGACTTGGAACCCTTAGGGTAAGATGTGGATGACCCTGGGGTGCAGTGATTGATGGCAGGTCAACAGGCCCCTCACCTGCCTGAGACATCGTGGGTTTGGGGTCAGTGGAGGTGCCCAGGGGCTGAAAGGTGGGTTTGGAGCAGCATCCCAAAGGGGACAGATCCCACCTTGTTTCTGCTGTGTAGGAAGGGACGTGGTCAGTGGTGGGTTTGGCAGTGCTGGGGAGGTTGGACTGGATGATCTCAGAGGGCTTTCCCCACCTCAGTGAGTCTGGGAAGGTCCCTGTGGCTCCCTCAGGGTTGTAGGAAAGGGAACCCTCACACGAGGTCGGCTTTTTGAGCCTTAAAAATGGGATTGGAGACATAAATTGGTGCTGCTTGACCTGGAAGGCGTTCTCAAAAATTGGTGTCTTCGTGTCCTGCAGCGTGTTCAGGGCAGAGTGTCCAGCTCTGCCCTTGGTCAGGTGGAATGTCACCTCCCTCTTGTCTCCTCTCAGCTGTTCACAAACCCCTCAGTGTACTGAAGTGCTGTGTGAATATTTCATGGAGCAGCTCCGTTTCCCACTTCAGCTCGTGTTATGCTGGGATAGCAAAGTGGGATTTCTCCGCCTCCAAACACATCCCGTTTGGAATGCAGTGGATCTGCAGAGTTTCCAGCACAAAGGGATCATGTTTCCTGTGTATTTATCACAAGCTTTGTCCTCCAAACCGGTGTAAAGGGACGGTGGCGGCGTCTTGGACCTGGAACCGCGTGAAGTCACGGGGACTCCTTGTTTTCCACGGAGAATTGCGCTGGGAATTCCTTTGCTGAGGGGAATGTGAAACTGGAAACACCTTGCTCCCTCCCCTGCTGTGTCAGGACCTCGCTGGTGGTGATCCCTGAGGCAGAGGAGGGCGGGATGGGATGAGGGAAGGGGGAAAGTTGGGTTGTGGAGCAGCTGCCGGAGGAGTCTGGATGGAAGTTCTTCCTCTTAGCAGGATGTGATGGGAAGGGATCCTGTCCTGTGGGGGAGGGATCCGTCTCTGGGGACTGATGGATGCCCAGAGATCCCTGGGAGTGTCCAAGGCCAGGCTGGAAGGGGCTTGGGGCAGCCTGGGCTGGTGGAAGGTGTCCCTGCCCACAGCAGGAGTGGGATGAGATGGACTTTTCCAACCCAGACTTTTCTGGGATTTTGTGATGAGTTTGTAGACAGTGGAATATTCCCGAAGACTGAGAAGGGCCGGGAATGAGTCAAAGAGGAGCAACATCCATAAATCCAGACTCCTGTAGCTCTGGGATGCAGGAGGGCTTTGGCACAGCCAAGACTTGGCAAAGAGAAGAACGTTGTCCTTGTCTGCTGGGAGGAGAATCTCCCTTTGTAATCTCAGGAACGGCATTGGATCAGCAGCTGGAGGCACTTGGAAACCAAATGCCCTCCCTGGGCCTCACTGGCACCGTGTCCCCTTCTCTGGCACCGTGGAAGCGGAATTCTGGGAGCCAAATTCCCTTTAATTTCTACCAGCTCGTTTGATTTAGCTCGTTTGATTTGTGTCCTGGCTAAAGTGACTGGAAAAACGGGATCCTTTGAACAGGATTGCTTAGAGATGACCTGGAATTAGGGAAAACCAGTGTGTGGTGGTGAATTGCTGCTTCTGACTCGTGAGCTGGATGCAGAGTGATCCCAAACAGGTTTCCTGCCTCGTTTGGGGCAGTTGGGATGAGCAGAATGTTGGGAACACGGTGAATGGATCCTCCAGTGCCTGTTGAGGTGGGTTGTTGGTGTCTGCAGGAAGCCACACCAAGTCTTGTGCTTCAAATGCAGGTTAGTTCCAATAAGCCCACGGGTTTCTGGGAGTTTGGGAATTCCTGGAGCACATCTGAGCTGGTGGTGTGAGTGCCAGGAACTGCCATTCCCAGCCGGAGCTGTGCCCTTCCCAGGGATCCTTCCCTTCCCACCACGAGCTCCGTGTCAGGGCCTTGGCAGAGGAACAAGAGGGTTTGATGCTGCCAGAGACACGTTGGAGCATCTTTTGTCTTCCAGACCAGCTTGTGCTTGGGAAAAGTGACGTGGAATTTCACAGCTGGGTATTACTTGCCTGGCCTGCCAGCTGCGTTATACAGCTGTTATTTTATATTAATTATTATACATCTGATTGTGTTTTATACTCCTAGAGCAGCTGGAAGTTGGTTTTTTAGGAATGTTTAATAATTATCACCGATACATTACACCTTAGGGTTTCAGACCATGGAATATCCCTTCTCCACAGCAAACTGGCTCCTTTGCCTCCCAGCTCCCCACACTGGGGACTGTCTGTGCTCACAGTTAAACCTGAGCTTAAGGATTTGTAAGTAAGATTAAGATATTTTTCAAGCTCGAGGGCTTGCACTGTCTCTACTGAACCCCTCAGTTTCCCTCAAGATAAACCCCTTGCTGAGGTTCTTTAATGTGAAATAAATCAGTGTGTGTGTGAGGAACGTCCCGAGGCTCTGGAGTGACCTTCAGCCGTGACGTGATTGGGGGTGAATGTTCTGGGGCTCCAGGCATGGGAAGCCAGGCTGGGGTGGGAATGAGATTTGACTTGGAGATGCCACGTCTGGGCTTCCGTGCTTTCTGGGTTTGCTGGGGGTGCTCATTGGTCTGACAGGCTGTGAAAGCCAGTAATGGCTTTATTTCCTTTAATTTGCCCAGTTATTGGATCAGCCTGTCCTGATCCGTGTGGTGACAGCCCCCGGGGTGCTGGGGGGGTTAATTCCTTCATTTATTTCATGGAACACGATGCATTTTGTTCACCTTTGTGTTCTGTGGCACCCTGTGGTGATAATGTTTTAGTGGTTTTAATATCCCAACTGGAAATTTGACCTTAAGATCGTTCCTGAGGTGAAATGTGGTGGAAGGCAAAACACACCAAACATCACTAGAGATTGTGGGCAGTGCTGACATGTTCCACTCTGATCCAACCTCTCCGGGTGTCCTTTTCCCCCCCAGGACTGGATCCTGCACCAGAACAACCCTTCCCACATCGAGAGCTGCCGCAAGCTCCGCCAGCAGTAAGGGATCTGTTGGGATCTGCTTGGGAGGGGAGGGACAATAAATCCCAGCAGCAGTAAGGGATCTGCTTGGGATCTGCTTGGGAATGGCTTGGGAGGGATAATAAATCCCAGCAGCAGTAAGGGATCTGCTTGGGAATGGCTTGGGAGAGGAGGGACAATAAATCCCAGCAGCAGCAAGGGATCTGCTTGGGATCCACTGGGAATGGCTTGGGAGGGGAGGGACAATAAATGCCACCCAGTGCCACCCCTGCCATGGGCAGGGACACCTTCCCCCAGCCCAGGGCTCCAGCCTGGCACACTCCCAGGGATGGGGCAGCCTGTTTTTAGGGTAAAAGGTGGGGTTTGTGCTGCAGGTGTGAAATTTGGCCTTTGTAGTGACCCCTGTGTTCCCCCTGGCAGGTACCCGGAATGGAACCCCGAGGCTCACTCCTCCAGCAGGTAACTGCCTGTGCTTTCCCAGCTGTCCCAATTACTGGCTGTAATTAAGGCAGCTCTTCTCCCTGGTTTGCCCCCTGCAGCCTTTCTCATGGGGTCGTAGTTCTGGTGTAGAATTAGGGGGGTGGTTCTGGGGGGTTTCTCCTGAGTTTGATAGAATCCCAGGCTGGGTTAGGTTGGGTTGGGTTGGAGGGACCATGAAGCCCATCTCATTCCACCAGGGAATTCCACTAGTCTTGGTCCAGTTAATCCTGTTTGTAGCCTGGCCTCTGGAGATCCCTTGGGGAATGGCATCATCACAGGCTGAAAAAACCCTGGAATTCATCAACTCCCATCTCTGGCCTTTACTGTCTGTGATGAATTCTTTTTAAAAACACACCCTGTGTATTAATTCCCTTTGAAGCTCGGCAGAGTTGGGCTGTTTTACTGCTTCAGCATTTGAAAGTGTTTTGCCTCGTGTACAAATAGGGGGGATTGCAATGGAATTGTCCTTGGATTTTCCTGAGATTTTGCATTAATTGGTTTGACATCCTTCCTGGGAAGCTGAGTTCCAAAGGCCAGGCTGCTTTGCTGAGTGAGGTCTCTCTGTTACAAACCAGGAGCTAAAAAGCAAATAAACTTTTGAAACTTCCATGAGGAGAATGATCACAGAATCATGGAATGGTTTGGGTTGAAAGGGACCTTAAAGCCCACCCAATCCCACCCCCTGCCATGGGCAGGGACACCTTCCACTGGCCCAGGTAGCTCCAACCTGGCCTTGGACACTTCCAGGGATCCAGGGGCAGCCACAACTTCTCTGCCCAACCTGTGCCAGGGCCTCCCCACCCTCACAACCAGGAATTCCTACCCAATATCCCATCTAACCCTCTGGCAGTGGGAAGCCATTCCCTGTGTGCTGTCCCTCCCTCCCTTGTCCCCAGTCCCTCTCCAGCTCTCCTGGAGCCCCTTCAGGCCCTGCCAGGGGCTCTCAGCTCTCCCTGGAGCCTTCTCTTCTCCAGGGGAACCCCCCCAGCTCTCCCATCGAATTCCTCTTTCGTGCCTTGCCCAAACTCTCCGTGTTCCCTCGTTCCCACAGGAATGCTGGGGACAGGAAGGAGAACCAGACCCCGAAGCACCGCTCCAGCTCCTCCAGCCCGAGCCCGCGGCGTTACCGCCCGGGGGGCTCCGGGTACCCCCTGCGGCGCTCCCGATCCCGGAGCCCCGGGCGCTTCCGACGGCCCCGGAGCCGCAGCCCCCCCCCGGTACTTCCGACGGCCCAGCCTCCGGCACAGGTCCCGCACCCCCCAGCGCCCCAGGAGCTCCCTGAGGCCCAGCTCCCGCTCCCACCGCTTCTCCAACTCCGAGCGCTCCTCCCGCAGGTCCAGCCGCTCCGAAGGTGGGCATGGGGATGGGCATGGGCTGGGCATGGGCATGGGCATGGGGATGGGCATGAGCTGCCAGAGCAGGACCTCCTGCCACTTCGGCAGCACCCAGCTGGTTTCCAGAGCTCTCCCTGGAAAATCCCAACCCAGGCTGCTTTCTTTGTGTGCTTCCAGAGCCTCGAGAGGTTCTGTGGGACAGAGGTCCAGGTGGGAGGTTGTGAAGGGACAGGCAGGTGTCAGGAGCTTTGTTAAGGGTAAAATACAAACCATGGAAATGGAGGAGGGGGAGAAGCAACGAATAACCCGAATGTGAATTCTCCACAGAAAGCCAGCAGACAGGAAATTATTGTTGTAGCAGCTTGTTAAAGAATAATTAAAACCAACAAAGAGCAAGAGAAGGAGGCAGAATTTAGCAGAAGGCACCAAGATAGTAAGTACTGCTGGGCCTCAGTGTGAGAGAGGAGCAGAGGCTTCAAAAATCCCTCTTTTCCATTCCCTGACATAGAACATTAAACGAAATTTTGCATTTTCTTTTGTCCGGCCCTTGGGATTTTTGTAGATGTTGTTTTGGAGTGTCACACCCTGAGGTTTATTAATATTTACTGTGAAGGTTCTCTAAGCTCAGGCAGTCTCAGGGTTGGCTCAGGAGTGGGTGATGAAGCTGAAACTGTAGGAAAGAACAGAAGTATCTGTAAATTGTATTTAAGGATGAATTGACCCCCCCTGGTTTCCCCCCCTCACAGACAGAAAGGCAGCACTCGAGGCCGTCATGAAAACCCTGGGGCCTGAGTTCCTGGCAGAGTTCAAGAAACACAAATCACTTCAGGCAGCTGTGCAGGGATCCTTGGGATCGGGAAGATCCTCATCCACTCACGGACCCCCGGGGAAGGTGTCTGGGAGCGTGAAGAAGCCGCTGAAGACAAGTGCTGCTCCAAAGGCTCCCAAGAAGGATGGGTCTGCTGCGCCCGGGCCGAGCTCTGCCTCGTCCAAAACGGAGGAATCAGCCCAAAGCAAGGAGGGGGAAGAGGATGAGGAAGATGAATCCGCAGGGAGCAGCAAACCTCAGTCTGCTTCTTACAACAGGGTGAGTTCCTGCGGGTTTTCTCTGCTTTTTAAGGACTTGGTTGGTGTTTCCCTTCAGGGGGTCACTGGCAGGGTGACCCATTCCACGCAACACTGAGGTCTGCTGGCTGCAGGGAAGGGTGGGGATCCTGGAACCATGGAATGGTTTGGCTTGGGAGAGACCTTAAAGCCCATCCAGTCCCACCCCCTGCCACGTGTAGGGACACCTCCCACTATCCCGGGCTGCTCCAAGCCCCATCCAACCTGGCCTTGGACACTGCCAGGGATAGAGACTGAGGCAGAACGGCAAAACAACGGGATTGTGGCAAAATCCCTGACTTGGGAAGTGTCTGTTTTCCTTCCGTGTCCTGTGTGTAGCTGCTGAGGGAGGACCTGCTGAGCTGTGGGACCGTCCTGCAGATCTCGGACCTGCCGGACGACGGATTTTCGGATCAGGACATCAAAAAGCTGGTGCAGCCCTTCGGCAAAGTGAGCGACCTGATCGTGCTGCGCTCCAGGAACGAGGTGAGAGGGGCAGGGAACCAGCCAGGCAGGGAGAACCAGGGGCACGGGGAACCTCAGGGCAACATGGGACACGAGGGACACGGGGAACCTCAGGGGAACAGGGAACACAAGAGACATGGGGAACCTCAGGGGAACATGGAACAGGAGGGGCACAGGGAACCTCAGGGGAACAGGGAACACGAGGGACACAGGGAACACAAGGGGCACAAGGAACCTCAGGGGAACAGGGAACACGAGGGACATGGGGAACCTTAGGGGAACAGGGAACACGAGGGGCATGGGGAACCTCAGGGGAACAGGGAACACGAGGGGCATGGGGAACACAAGGGGAACAGGGAACACGAGGGACATGGGGAACCTCAGGGGAACAGGGAACACGAGGGACACAGGGAACCTCAGGGGAACAGGGAACAGGAGGGACATGGGGAACCTTAGGGGAACATGGGACACGAGGGACATGGGGAACACAAGGGGAACAGGGAACATGAGGGACATGGGGAACCTCAGGGGAACATGGCACTAATGACAAACTACTGAGAAGCTTTAAGATCACACATGTAATCTGGGAATAGCTGGAACTGGGAAACTGATACAAATTCAGACCCTACATTTTTTCATTTTATTTTATATATATATATATATGTGTGTGTGTGTGTGTGTGTGTTTGTGCATATATATATGTGTGTGTATATATATATATGTATGATTTATACATATAACTTATAGATTCTTAATATATTATATGTTGTATGTTATATATATACTATATGATATAATACATATAATATATAATGTATTATGTTGTGTATTATACTATATAATATATATAACATATAATAAATCATGTCTTTATCTATTTACATACATTTAATTTTACCTATAAATTATACATTAGACATTATATATAATATTATAATATGTTATAGATTACGTAGAATGTATACTTTGATATCTGTAATGTATGTTATGTATAATATTTAATTTTACCTATAAATTATGCATTAGACATTATATATAATAACATAATACTTTATAGGTTACATAGAACGTATACTTTAATATCTATCACGTATATTATGTATAATTATAAATTATTTATATGTCATTTTTAAATTATTCTGTTTTATTCCCCCTGAGCTGTGGCAGCTGGAGGCAGTGGGGTGGTTCTGGTGTAACACTGAAATATCCAGACCTGCCCATCAAATTCCACGTGGATTGAGCACCCCTGGTTCCATGACCAGCAGGCTGGCTGAGGAGGGATCCCAGGGAGCTGTCCCTTGTGCCTGGAGGCACGGTAAGAGCAGGAATTCCCTGTGTTCCAGGCCTACCTGGAGATGAACTACAAGGAGGCCGTGATCGCCGCCGTCAAGTTCGGGGAGACGCAGCCGGTGCTGCTCAACGGGAAACGCATCCGGATCAGCGTGGCCGAGAAACCCCGGGCACCCGCCGGCCAGGTGGGAGCCCCACATCCCAAACCAGGCTGGAATTCTGCTCCAGACACCCCAGGGATGGGAGCCCCACACCCCAATCCGGGATGGAATTCTGCTCCAGACACCCCGGGCACCCCCAGACAGGTGGGAGCCCCACATCCCAAACCAGGCTGGAATTCTGCTCCAGACACCCCCTGGCCGGGTAGGAGCATCACACCCCAAACTGGGCTGGAATTCTGCTCCAGACACCCCGGGCACCCCCCGGCCAGATGGGAGTCTCACATCCCAGTCAGGGCTGGAATTCTGCTCCGGAAACTCCCCAGTCAGGTAGGAACCCCACATCCCAATCTGGACTGGAATTCTGCTCCAGACACCCCGGGGAGGGAGCCTCACACCCCAAACTGGGCTGGAATTCTGCTCCAG